CATGGGCCTTATTGGACAAAAAAAAGAAGCAAGATGGGCCTCAAAAAGGGGTTTTGTGGCAAGGAGGTCAGTCACAAGAGTTGGAGGTTTCTGAGCAAAAGCATAAACGCCGTTGCTTGCCGCCGCACTTGCTTCTCCGCAGGTTTCTCAAGGTTATCAGTTAGATCCCTACGAGACTTGGTCTTTTGTTTGTTATAGTAGCTGCTGTTGGTTGAGTTATTGGTCTTTGTTTTTTCATCTGTTTATGTTTCCAAATTTTGCTGAGATTACTTTTTCCACAGAGATAGAGGCAATTTTAGACTTATGGCAGAGATTAAACCGTTGATTGGTCTTAAATGGGAACCAAAGCTTCCTGGCTTATCTTTAAATGGCTCCAGTTCAAGCAAAGGAGGTCAGAGTCACGAAATGGGCTTGCTCTGGACGCCTAAGTCAGACCTTGTCGATGGTCTTTGTCTTCCACCTACTGATCCAAGGAAGATTAACAAGATGATTAGAAAGCAACTCAAAGACACCGCCGGATCAAACTGGTGACTTTGCTTTTCCTTTCGTCCACTTTGATTATTTACTCTCTTTTTGTTTGATCCGGTGAGATCACATTACAGGTTTGATATGCCCGCACCAACAATGACTCCCGAGTTGAAAAGGGATCTTCAGTTGCTTAAGGTAATGGCATCTTCTTCTTTCTTTTTTGGTGGCTGTGTTGTTGTCTGGATTTGGTTTCAAAGTTCTAACACCCTTCTAATTTTTATGTATTGCAGTTGAGACCTGTAATGGATCGTTCCCAACACTACAAGAAATCTGTGTCCCGGTCTAAATTAGGTGAAAAATACTTCCAGGCAAGTTTCAGAACAGTAAAGTAGATCAAGACATGAACTCTTTGTCTCGTCCTCTGTCTTACACCAATTCTTTCATGTCAAAAACCAGATTGGCACAGTAATTGAACCAGCTGAAGAGTACTATAATAGATTGACAAAGAAGAATAGAAAAACAAGTCTTGCTGATGAGTTGGTCTCAGATCCCAAAATTTCTCAGTACAGGTAAGTTACTTCCATTGTCTATTTAGAATCTCTTCAAAGATTCTGTATCACATGTAAAGATAATGGAATTGAGGCTAGTTGATCGTAAAAGCTTTAGTTTGTGAAACTTCAAGTTAAATCCATCTAATAGGCCTGAATTTGATAATGTAATTGGACCCGTGTTGATTGTAGAAATTACATGATGAGCCCTTGTAGATGTCCTGCTGGGTATATTGTTTGTTTCATATCCATGGATTGCAAGAATGCTACACTTCTGTTAAGAGTTATGATAGAGATTAGTTTAACTATGTGATTGATTCAAACAAAAGAATTTTGCTCATCAGAAAACTGAACATGAATGTAATGTTTGCTATAAGTGATTGTGTTTGTGTGTTTTACAGGAAGCGTAAAGTCAGGGAGATTGAAGAGAAGAACAGAGCTGTTCAGAATAAAAAATGGAAGAGAAAGGGAAAAGATTCCAAGAACACAAGACAAAGAAGGAACTGAATTACATTTGATCATAGTTTTGGAACAGATTTTGGCTGTGGCTTAACAAATTAATGACTGTTGTTGTGTTTATGGCCTTGGTTTGATTCGGATTTGTTTTGTCGTTTAAACGATTTGTATTGTTAAGAAACCCGTGCGTACCTATTTTGCTCAACCTCCAACAAATCAACTAAGAGTTTTAAAGAACTAGTTGCTCAGTTTCATTTTTCAATTCGCAAAAGAAATTCTAATTTGTTTATGTAATAAAGAAAAAGCATATCCTTGGTTTCTTTGCATTTATTTGAATGTGTTTTTACTAAAGTATTATATTATGTAAGCTTGTTTTTTGAATTAGTTAAGAGAAAATTTGTAGAATTGGTTTTATTACAAGAAATTTTCATGATAAATTAATTTTCCAATGTCAAAACAAAAACAAATTAATTTTCCAATCCTCTGGAATTTTGATCGTCGAGGTTTCGATTGGGCTTAGCCCATTCAAAAAAATGTAAACTTTGAGGCCCAAACAGAGGAATGGTCACCCTAAACGCTCTCGCGACTCCTCTCTTTCTCTCTCACCGCATCATCAAGCTCAGAGCCGGCGAAGCAAGCCGTCGTACCACCGCATCGCCGAAGGTAAGCATATTCCTCTCTTTCATCTTCTTCTCCGCTTTTAGAGCTCTCATAGGTCTAAGATTAATGGATCTCATCGTTTGATATTGGAACTGTCATATTTGGTACGAATTTGCTACGTTTTAATCTTTGGTGTTTGTTTCTGTGTAATCGGAACGGGTCACTAAGTATTAGAGATTGTAAGTACTTTTCCTTTAGACTATCGAATCAGATATGACTCGTTAAATCAAATTAGGTTTTGAGCTCGTGACGTTGAAATCGATCTTATGAATCTCTACTTGCTTCCGAAATCATCCTTTCTAATTCACCATTTTGCTCCACAACACACTGATCTTGTGGAAAAGATTTATGCATTTGATCTGCAAAGTAACCTTTGAGCCTACTAAACTGATACTTTCTTAACTATTCTTGTTTAGATTTTTGATTGTTTTTTTCCACACTAGTTGAAGTTGGTTGTTTGTTGTTAACTTTTCTATCATCTTGGATCGTTAATATGTTTAGGTTTAGAACCCTCAAGGATATAGTACTATCGTTAGTTTTGGCAAACCCTAGAGCTCTCGTTTACAATCTATATACCATTGGATATTCAATTTCCAAGATTTTTGAATCTAGGCAATGGGGTCTCATGAACAATCAGAAGGAAAATCACCTGAGAAAAGTGGTTCGACCACTGTGTCTAAGAAAATTGTGGAGATTTGGGAGCAAATGAATAAGGGAGTGACGGATAAACGTCTCAATTTTGTCTCACAGAGCTCAACCGCTTTGCCCGCTCAAAACTCAGCTAGCAATGTGAGGTTTCTTCACTCTGTG